CCCCGAGGCAGCACTCCTGTGGCATTTGTGGCAAGGGAGGGAGCCTTTGAGACACCCGGGGGAGGCAGCTGTGGCTCAGCCCAGCTCTGCCACTTTCTCTCCAGGGAATTGACCTGCAGTTTGCCCTCAGGATGTGAGGGATGGGTTCAGAACCAGATGGGTGGCTGGACTGGAGCCTTTGTAGCCAGCTTGACCACACACAGGCCAAGCAGGGAAGTGGCCGTGTTGGAAAAGCATAGGGCATATAAACTGCCACCATAGGAAATTTGGGGGGACTGGAAAGAGCATGCCCTTGGACACTGACGCCTTGGGTTGGGATCTGGCACTGCCACTTACCAGCGGTGTAAAATGCACACAAGAAGCTGCCTGACAGGGCTGCCTTGAGCAAGAAGTCAGACAACCCCTGAACATAGCTGGTGCTGGCAGGTGAGCAGATGGCCCCACATTTCCAAATAGGTGTGTGAACCGCTGGTCCAGAGAGGCAAACTTCTGGGCAACACCACACCAGCAATGTAAATGTTCTCGAAAAGCAAGAATGTGGTGGAAACTCAGCCTGACGAGGAGAAAGCCACCTTTCTGTTCCAAACCCCAGTCTGTCCTTCCGCACGACAGTGCTTCATGTCAGTGTTCTGGCCTGGGAGCCACCTGTGGAGCCTCAGGAGGGCTGCTTTCAGGCAGGTCACACATGTGACCCGAGGGGCCACTTGGTACCTGTTGGTTCCCTTTTCCTTCTGGCTGATGAATAGGGGAGTGAGCACTGCATTCAACTGCCAGGGTATGTGGTATCTTACCACACTGTGGGCAAGTCCCGTTACCTCCTCTGGCCCCATCTCCATCTGTAAAATGAGGATAACATTAGTGCCTGTAGGGTTGCTGTGAAGATTCAGTGTGATTCTACTCACTCCAAGTGCCCAATACATGCTGGTTGTCCTTGTAATTAGAACTCTAGAGTTCATGCGGGGACTCAAATGTCTTAGAGGTTTGAGTGTTTCTTTCACTGGGGATGGTATAGGAGAGCCTTGCTTCTCAAGGGTCATCTGTTAATATGGGCTCCAAGTGAACATGATTACTTGTAATCTGTGGGTGCTTACATGCTCGTTTTAGATTGGAAATCACCTGGAGAGTTTGTTAAAGTGTACATTCTAATTCAGTGGGCTGGGGATACAGCCTGAGATTCTACATTTCCATCAAGCTCCCAGGTTGTTCTCCATGCTGCTGGTGTGAGGACCACACCTGAAGTAGCAAGCAAAAGTCAGAATCAGCCTGATGATTCATTGATGGGCGCCTGTTGGGGGCAAGAGTCGGGGGACACTCAGGTCCTTTTATATGGCAACTGTACAGAGGAAAGAAACATCTTACTGTCTTGTCAAGAATGCCAGGGAAGATTTGGGGGGATGTTGGATGTATCTGGGATGTCTCTTTATAACTCAGAGAATAATGAGAAAAAGCAGATGGCATCTCTTCAGTGGCTTGTCCTGAACTCTGGGCCATTACACGCTCTCTATCTCTTGGGATCAGCCTGGCAAACAGCCAGCTGAACTAACTACAGAGAAGACAAGCTCATCGGCTGGCCTGCAGCAGCAGTCTTGCTGGCTGGCGGCCTAGGTAAAGAGCAGCACCAGGCGACGGAGGAAGCCATGATGCTCTGTAAACACAGAGATACAAGCTCGTTCTCCACCATGTCACCCCTGTGAGCGGCATGCACACGTGTGCACGCACACGCCCCCTTATCTCTTGCTTCATTTCCCATTGCACAGGATTTGGGAAAAACTTTCTCATCTGATCAGCTGATTAAGGGTTTGAACCAGAGGGTTCCTATCAGAGCTTGATCAGCCATTGTTGTTGGAGCCATTGAGTACCTTGGGCTGGGAAGGAAAATAATTCAGCAGGTCCTTTCTCCACTTTAGATTTTGATATAAATTTTGCCCCTCTCAGTCGCAGTGCTGGTCTGGGAGAAGCAGTGCCTGGGATTCGTGCTCTCCAGGGTTCCTTCCTGCTTGGATAACCTGTCAATCTGGATCTGTAAATTTGGAGCAGTGGCACTTTCTGAAATGTCCAGGGTTCCAGTGCTATTTTGGGGGCTGCATGAGAGAAACAGCTTGCTGTTGTATGTGGTGAATTCTCCCCTTTGTTTAATTTCTGTAATTCTTACAAAATGAATTGCAAGTGGCATTTATTCACTGTGCTAATGTAAATTCGGAGTCGGTGGGAATTTTTAGACCCAGCCCTGTCCCACTGGGGTTGAGTGGAGGAGGCACTGTAGGTTGCCCCGCTCCTACAGGCCAACAATTAAAGGCGGTGGATAGTCCAGCTGTTTAGCGATGTCAAACGGCTAATTCTTCTCACCTGTGGAAACATAGCTGGCATTATGGAGAGCAACCCTTGGCTTGCCCCGGTGGCACTAAAGCTCAGCCTCAGGGGCAAGGGTGGGGAAATTGATCCCTTCATGGGCTTTTCTCCTCACTGGAGTTTCGTTTTGTGTGTCAGCATGCATTGGAGTTAGAGCCGCTGAGAGCTGGCCAAACTGGCCTTGTGTGAGTGACGGAGGTGGTGTGGTCCGTTTGGGAAAGTGCTTGCTGTGACTTCCAAAGGCCATGGGTTCCAGCCCTGCCTCTGCGTGGAGTTCGCAGCTGTGGCCCCCCAGGGCGAGGCAGGAGGACCACGAGCTGCCCAGTGAGCACCTGGGAGGGCAGCTTCCCAGGGCGTTGCTGAGAGACCACAGGGCAGCTTGGGTGCCCTCACTATTGGGGGCCTGGCTGCTCTCACACCCCAGCAGGGTGTGATTGATACCTCACAGAATCAAATGCAGACTCTGCAGGACTGACCCTGAAGGAAATTCTCCAGTAAGAGGTGGATCTCCCTAGCTCCTTGTGTTCTCAGAGATCCTGCACCTTCTGAGTGTTGAGGAACTGGGCTTAGGGACAGTGGCCATTAGGATGGGACCCATATGCCTCCCTGTGAACCTGATGACATGCTTCTGAGCCACGTTAGTGTGAGTGTCCCATGTGATATCTGCCAGCCTTTATTAAAGGCCCATCTGAAGGTCTCCGAATAGATATCCACCCCTTTGCTGAGCCAGAGTGTTGGTGGGGGAGCAGCGTCACTCTGAGGCCAGGGTAGGGGTGAAGGGTCAGTGTCTAAGATCCCAGGATGAAGATGGTTTCAGGACAAAGTGAGGGGAGTCTGAGTCCTCTTTCCGTATCCTTACGGAGACTGTCTGGGTCGTTCTAATGCCTTCTTTATGGGTGCCTAATAGATAATGCTTCCTATTCCCGGGTGAGTGGAAATAATGTGCCTAATACTTTTTGAGGTGAATCGTATCCCCTTCCCAGGCTCTAGAGAGATGGAACAGCTCATGTTCTCATTGAGCAGTGGCTTGGGATGTTCTACTCTTTGAACATCAGTGTGAATTTTGTTTAAAGTCTCTTCGTACAAGTCTTCTTCCAAACAGCTCGTAGCTCAGCACAAGCCGTGCCTGACTGGTGCTGTTTAGTATTCTTTTCTATAGCTCTTCGGTTGACTGCTTTGCGGAAACAATGCATAAAACCGTAGGTCAGGGTTGTTTTTGTAACATCTGGAAGGGAACTCTCTGCTGGTCCTTCCGTGCTCTGCTCCCATACAGGTCCAAATGTATCTTTTCTGTCTTCTCGGGGTGTCTTGCTCTTTCCCGCTTTCCCTCCAGGGGAAGGGCCCCTGCTGGGGGTGGCCCATCCCCAAGGCAGCTTTCCAGTTCACGATGAAGGTTGTAGAGCTTCGTTCTTGCCCCTGTTTTTTATGCGAATAATTCTGTCTCTGGTTTGTGTCGGGATAGAGGTTGTTTATAATTCTATACTAACCCCAATTTCCTATCTCCCCGCAAATGAATGTGTTGTGGGGGGAGGAAAAAGGACACAGAAAAAAAAATGGCGTCCTTACATTTCTCATTTTTCGTTCACTTATTTCTATCGAAGTCTAACACACATCCAGAAAAGTGCCCATGTCCTATATACAATTTAATGAATCATCACAACTTTGTGTGAACACTGGTCAAGTCGAAAAATAGAACATCATACGCACCTACAGAAAGCCACCTCTCCTTAGTGTCAACCCCCTTTGCTGCTCCACTGAGGTAACCATCACAGTCCAATTTCAGCCGCTCTGAACTTCGGATAAATGGAATCAGATAGTGAATATGCTGTTGTCCCTGACGTTTTTTGCTCAGTGTTCCAGTTGCGAGATTCATCCATGTGATTGCAGTTGAACAGTGCTCATCAATTTTCATTGCTGTGTAGAATTCTATTGTATTTGTGTACCACAATTTGCTTCTCCGTTCTAGCATTGATAGTTCTTTGGGTTTCTTCATTTTGGGCCATTACATATTCAGCTGTGATCATTTTTGTGCCTGTCTCTTGGTAGGCCTATGCAGGCATTTCTGTTGAGTATGTTCCTAGAAATGGAATCGTTGAAACGATTGCGTTGTATGCCAACATGTCTGTAATGGTTTACACTCCCACCCACAGTGTATGAGGATTCCAGTGGCTCCACATCCTTGCCAGCATTTGGCATTTTTAGTCTTTTTGGTTTTAGCTTTCTAGTAGATGTGGAGTGATATCTCATTTGGATCTCTCTGATAACTAACGTAATTAAGTCCTTTTTCATAAGTTTGTTGGCCATTTGGTTATCGTCTTTTGTCAAGTGTCTGTTCAAGTCTTTGGCCCATTCTGTTGGATAGCTGCATTTTCCTCATTGATTTCTAGGCATTTTCTTTATAAATTTTGGCTAAGAATCCTTTGTTGACTGTATGTGTTCTCAACCAAACTTAAGCTTTAAATGCGCCTGAAGAAAATCCAATGGGCTCGCTGTAGGAGGTGCCCCTGCCTGGCCCACTGGCCCAGAATGATGCTGGGGTCTGGTTTCCAGCAGGCATTCAGCCTGCCTATGACCGGGCAAGGATTTAACCGTTGACCTCCTCTTTCCTGCTGCTGGCTCATGACCGAATGCCCTTTCTTCTTGATGTGCAGGGTCCTCGTGGGTGCACCAAAGGCAGATTCCAAATACAGCACTTCAGTGAAGTCCCCTGGGGCTGTGTTCAAGTGCCGCGTTCACACCAACCCTGACCGGAGATGCACCGAACTGGACATGGCTCGAGGTGGGTGGACATCACCATCAAGGTGGAAATGGGTTCTTCACGCTCATACTTTTCCTTTTTTTCTTCTCGGGGTGGCCTATTCATTCATCCAGTCCATCCATCTGTCCATCCTTCCTTCCATCCATCACATATTGAGTACCTATTACTTGCTAAGCACTGGGATACACTGGTGAACAAAACAAAGACCCTGCCATCCTGGGCCTTACAAATTAGTGAGTGAAAGAGACGTCAGAACGAATGATTGAAGAAGACTAGGCGGAGGGGAGTACTTGATCTATTCTAATTGGAAAGATGCACAGTAGTTAGCTGGGCAGGTACGGGAGGCAGAACCTCCAAGTGGAGGGAAGTGTGTACCATTTTAAAGCACAGAGCAAGGTCACTGTAGCTGGAGTGGTGGGCAAGAGGGAGCGGAAGTGGAGGAGGTGGGCAGAGGGGTTGAGGATGGATCCCACTGGGGTAAGGTGTTCGGATATTATTCTATGAAGGGAGAGGCCATTAGAATCAGTTTTAGATTTTACATGTTAAGTATGAAAGATGATCAATGGAAGTTTTGAAAAACTCACTTTGGTCTAGTGGAAAATACATCGTCTTTGGAACCAGATCAGTGGGCCTGGGTTCAGAGCCTTGCTCTGCCAGTTCCTAGTTGGGGCCTATTAGGAATGTCCCATAGCCTCTTTGGCCTCAGTTTCCTCAGCGGTAGGACTAAGATACCTACCTCACAGTATTACCTTGAGAAGGTTAAGTGAGATAGTAGAGGTGAACATTCAGAATTGTGCTTGGCACATAATAGGCACTCAGTAAGTATGAACTATTTTATTATAACGATTCAACTCCTTACTCTCTCCAAAGTCGTTTCCCATCAAGAGCTGCTAATTATTTTTTTAAACAAAACATTGTCATGATTTTCTTTAGCAGAAATGTCCATGGCGTTCCCTAGTGCTACTCAAAATGGCTGGTTGGCGGACTGTTTATTATTGGTGCATAACAAATTAAGGAGCTTCAGAACATAAACCAATGCACCACTTCCTTCATCATGGATGTCTTGCTATGAAAAAAAAAATTGGCTTGAGTAAACAGCGTACCTAGTGAAAAAAAATTGACTTGAGTAAACAGCTTACGTAGTGATGGAGTTGATTTTACACTTTGTTGCAAGTTTTGTATTTCCTCCCCAGCTGGTAACAAAATTTGCCTGTAGAAAACCCTTTCAAAATCAGCCAGCAGGTTATCTTTTTTCAACCTATGTCTGTCTTTTCTCTTTTTCCTCTAGGGAAGAATCGGGGCATGTCCTGTGGTAAGACCTGCCGAGAAGACCGGGATGATGAGTGGATGGGGGTGAGCCTTGCCCGGCAGCCCAAGGCTGATGGCCGAATTTTGGTAAGGCCTCGTGGGAGTGTATGTGGAGGGGGTGGCCCGCAGAATGAATGACTTTGATCTCTTAGGAAAGCCGGAGGGCATGGTGCCGAGGGCACGGCTTTGAGGTCGCCTGTTCTGGACTACTGCTTGGACAAATCATTAACTTTTTTATTTTCTTCATCTGTCAAATGTTAATGTCTGTCACAGGGTAGCTGAGATGTGGTTACTGAAACAGAACAAATAAAATGTATAGGAAAAGGGCTTTGTAAATCTTGTTCATTACATAAATATTTCTGTTCGTGTCTTCTTAAGTTGTATAATTTATATAAAACCCACTGATCTTAAGATTACAATTTGGCTTTTGACAATTGTACACACATGTGTAACCACCTCCCATCAAGATATCAACTGTTTGTCATTCCAAAAAGTTCTTTCTTATTCTTTTCTAGTCAACTCCTCCTACCCGGAGTCAACCGCTATTATGAATTGTGGTACCATGGGTTACTTTTGCTTTTTCTAGACCTTCATATAAATGGAATCCCATAGTATGTGCTCTTTTGTGTAAGGCCTCTTTCATTCACAGTCATACTTTTGAGATCAATCCATGTCGTGTGTATCAGTAATCCATTCCTCTTTATGCCTGCATGGTATGATATTTTAAGAAATACATGTTATTTTTAAATAGTCGTTTTTTGGCTCCCAAAACGCATATGTTGAATTCGACCCATTAGGTGCTTTGAGGGAGATGCACATAAAAAAGAAATCTTTGCCCAGAGACTTGAGCTGCATCAACCAATAGGGTAGCCACCAGTTAAAATTTACATCAATCTAAATTAAAAATTCAGTTCTTCAGGCACATTCGCCACATCTTGATCAGTGGCCACATGTGGCTAGTGGCTACTGCATTGGACAGCACACAGAACATTTCCATCACTGCAGAAAGTTTTATTGGTTTCAACCGAAAAGGAGTTTCTGTGTCAGAGGTTTTGTTTTGTCCATTTTTTCCTTTCTCTTTTACACTTTTCTATTGAGATGCAACACTAACATCTTAATATGCACAACTTCAAGTGAACAGCTTGGTGAATTTGTCATATATACACACTCATGCAACCCCATTGCCAACACCCCAGAATGTTCCCTTGTGTCCCTCCCCTCTGAGGTGACCAGTATCCTCACTTCATAGGCCTTTTCTTGCCATTGGTGTTTTTCTGGAAGCTGCATAAGATCAAGAAGGGAAAATAATACTAGCTGCCATTTATTGAGGCCACATGCTGTAAGGCTGGGGGTATTACGTATGTTTTATCCCAGGGGAAACAGAGTTTCCTGAAAGAATCTAGGCAAGATGTTTCTGTCCCTTCTCTGAGGAGCCCACTTTTGTGTTCTCTATGAAAGAGGCTGTTCATCTGAATTCTGCCTTAGCACAAATTAAGCATCTTCCCCTTGTCAGCCCCTTGTGGGGACGAAGGGAGCAGCTGGATGCTATCACCAGTGTCATGGGGCCTCCCTGCTGGAAACCACTGTAGGTCCTGTTCAGGGTCCCCAACCCTGTTGTTTGTCTTGGTCTAATCACTGTTGCAGGCTGCCCTGGACCCTCTCCAAGCCTCTACATTCCTCCAGACAGTGGCCTGACCCTGACTGGACAACTCGGCCCCAGGAGGGCCTGAATGCTTGTCTACCCTCCTATGGAGACGGGGGAAGAAGCCGATCCATTTAAAATCAGGGCAGCCTGAGGTCGAGATTCAGGACAGGGGAGGCGGTGTCCTGACGGCAGCACAACACACGATGCTCCAGAGAGCTGGGGGTCTACAGCCAGAGGTTGCTCCAGTGAAACGATTTCCTCTCCCCACGGAAGGATAACCTCTATGGGGCTGAGAGGTTGTTTCCAGGGGGTTCTGCATTACTGAAGTCAGTATCAGGAAGGGGCCATCTCTGGGACATGAACGGCAGGGGACGACTTAGCAAAGGAAGCCGTGAAGGCAGAGCTGGGGCATTTGTGGTAATGGTGCTATGATAATCCCACTGTAATTCGTTGCATGCAGAGCTATTTTTTCTCATGTTACGCAGTCACTATGCCATCCATTCAGTAAGTGTGGGTGCTGGAGGAAGAGAGGGGCGTCCAACAGCCTCCATTTTCCCCATGGCTTTTTAAAAATTGTCAAAACAACAACATAAAATTTACCATCGTACCCATTTTTAAGTGTACAGTGCAGCGGTGTCAGCTGTAGGCACATTGTTGGATAACAGAGCTCTAGAACATTCATTTCACAAAACAAACTCTATGCCCATTTTCCAAGTCCCCGTTCCTCTGTCCCCCAGTCACTGGCGACTGCTAATCTCTTTCTCTTTGTAAGAGTTCGACTACTTTAGATACCTCATATAAGTGGAATCATGTAGTGTTGTCTTTTTGTGACTGGCTTATTTCACTTAGCATAGTGTCCCCAAGGTTCATTTATAGCGTAGCATATAACAAGATTTCCTGCTCTTTTAGGGCTGAATAATATTTCAATGTATGTATATTCCACATTTTCTTGATCTATTTGTCCATTGATGGACACTCGGGTTGCTTCCACATCTTAACTATTGTGAGTAATGCTGATATGAACATATGTACGCAAATATCTCAGAATTCAGTATTCTGTTTTTCATTCTATTGTGTACACAGAAGTAGGATTGCTAAATACTTTGAAGAACTACCATGCTGTTTCCCACAGTGGCTTTATCATTTTATATTCCCACCAACGGTGCACAAAAAGATTCAGTTTCTTCACATCATCCTCATCACTTATTTTCTATTTTTTTTAATAGTAGCCCTCTTAATGAGTGTGAGATGATATCTCATTGTGGCTTTGATTTGCATTTCCCTAATGATTAGTGATATCGGGCATCTTTTCATGTGCTCGTTGACCATTTGTACACCTTCTTTGGAGAAATATCTGTTCGAGTCCTTTGCCTATTTTTACATTGGATTGTTTGGTTTTTGTTGTTGAGTTTTTCTTGCGTGTTTTTGTGCGCATGCAGTCTTGCTAGATAAGACTTGTCCTAAGTCCCCTCTGTTCCCACACTCCTCTGTCCTCCCTGATTTAGACTCTGCATCCTCCATGAAACCTACCATTGGTGACAGTGCTGTCTGGAACAAGCTTAGCAGTTTTCGTGTTATTAGAAACTCAGCATTATGTGGGTACGTTATATGTATAATTTATTTTGGATGTATGTTTCCTTTTTTTTTTTATGGAAGCCACTAGGAAACGGAGACCAAATCGATCTTTCTCACTCAGTGCCTGGTGAAGATCTCTCTAAGCAGTGGTGTTTAAAAGTGCATTTGGATAATACAGGGGCAGAGAGCATCAACGTTAAAACTAATAGAAACCGAATTGGTTGCCATCTCTTTTCGGTGGCTGATTCTAAGTGGTCGATAGAAGCATGAGGCAAAATGTTGTGAAGTAATGTTGTGAAATGCCCCTTAGAAGAGGTAGGTGACAACAAGATACAAGGAGTGGTGACCTGGTCATAGTTACATTTTGGAGGTCTCATGTCCATTTGCTTTTTAATGTCTCAGTTCTACCTGTCAGCTTCCTTGGAGGCAAGTATTTATCTTAAAAATGTAAAGATAGGTTTTTATTCAAACGCATTTTGAGAACTGGGGAGTGGGCATGAGATCCGTATCCCCAAGGAACATAATATTGGATTCTAAGGTTGGGTTTGAAGAGGAAGAGCTGAGGTAGCTTTTTTTTTTCCTTCTTTTTTTTGAAAGTGGTACCTGGTGCTGATTTCAAAGTAAAGAACAGATGAGGAATTTGAAAGCTGTGATAGGGAGTCAAGTGTCTTAATGAAAAATGGCATTTTCTGGCCGATGGACCTAGCAACCAACTCTGGAAAGACCCAGGACATTGGGCTGGGCTGTAGACTGACTTTGGCTTAGTATCTGCCAGTCTCGGCTCACAGGTGTTGTGGTACCTTCTAGTTTTTCCCCAGGGAACAGAGGATACCCGGAGTGAATGCAGCAGGGGGATGGGAGGCGGGCAAGCCCCTCCCTTCTCACCACTCATCCTGCATCTCCAGTGTGCAGACGGTAGTTTAAGAAACGGGAAAAATCACTTTTTGCCATAACCACCCGACAACCCCAGCATAGGCACTGACTCGGGAAGGCAATTCAAAATGTTTAAGTCTGGTTTCCGCTTTTTAGTAGTCTCCACGGGCTCAGATAACAAATAGGGCAAGTGCCTAGATTACGTCTGGGTGGAGGCAGTGCTATCTGGCTCCATCTCTTCGCTGTTTGCTCTCCCAGCATCAGGGCCGTCCCTATCTATTCTCTGTGTCTCATCTGTCCATTTTTTTCAAAACCACAGGGTACATTTTTGCATTTACTTCAGTTACTTGGTTTCTTGATTTTTCTTTTTTAGTGAACTTTTTCTTGAGCTCTAACACACGTGCAGGAAAGTACACAAGTGATCTGTGTACACCTTGGTGAATTTTCATTTGGTGGACATTCTCAATGACTTTCCCAGCATCCCAGAAGCTCCTTTCCTGTGCCTCTGAGGCCCCTTCTTCTTCCCTTGGAGGGGTGGATGTCTTTGGGGGAGGATTGGTGGCATCAGTGGCCCCGGGGTGGACCTAAGGGCCTGGTTAAAGCTCTGGCCATCTGTGTATGGCAAATACATGTGTACCAGGGTGGGAGTGGGGACTTATGTGCCTTTGTGGCTGAGACATTTGGAGAAGCCCAGTACCTCCACCCCTTCCTAGGATGTGCTGTTTCTGTACCACAAAAAGCCCTTTGAAATAAATTGCTCATTTTCTCCTTTTTGTTCTTTGGGGAGAAAAAAACAATCCTTATAACTTGAAATAGGTTCAATCCTAAGATTTGGGGTGGCGCTAGTACCTCCTCCCCCCTTTTATGATTATTTGCAATCTGAGTTTGGTCAAGTCTTGCTATTTCCAGAGAATGATCTTTTTCCTGTTCTTCCCTCTCTGCTCCCTTCCTCCCTCACAGCAGAGCTCATTTGGAGAGATTGATGGGGTTATTAATGCTTTGGAGACAGCCCTTAGGAATTTTTTTTTTTTTTAATGTAGGGGGTCAGGCTGACATGCGTGTGTGTATATATAATGATAATCAGGGCTAAACGGTCTTTTTATAATTCACAGAGACTTTTCCTTGTTTTCCTACATGCATATTGCCTTTGACACTTTGATCTCTGACCTCACAGAATGCCTTAATTTTAGTTTAGTTTACTGCGAAACACAATATTTGGATCTCCTAGGGATCGTCTAAGATCATTCCTTAAACAGTTTATGGCACTAAAAAAAAACAAGGAGACAATAAACTAGACTTTAAATGCAGAAAGTCCTTCCTTATGAGAGTCAGCGTGCCCCACAATAAACATCCTCCTCCTCTTACGGTCTCTCTAACCCAGAAATACAATGAAACGGGGTAAGCCCCAGAAGCCAAGGGCTTTGCTGAATCCATAAACAAAAATATAACTGATTTACCAGCTAATTAGATGAAAAGTGGTTCAAGTTTGCAAGCCATCGGAATTAAATCAGAGCTACAACTTAAATCTAGAGGAATAGAATGACATTCTACTTAGTGAGATACTCTTAGAGCCCCATGTCATATCCGTCCATGGGAAATGTGCCCTGACCACAAAACAGTACCAAGTGGGGAAGAGCGAGGGTGGTTTGCAGTATAAAGAATAACAAGAAATTGTGTGACGTAGTTTCATGTTCTAGGGCAAGAGGCAGTGTGTGGACAGGCTCGGTTTCCAACTTGTTCTGAGTACATCCTCTTTGCCTTTGGGCAGAGTGGCCTGGCCAAGGGTCCTGCTGGCAACTGGCCTGAGGGCTGAAGAGGAGAGCGGCTGACAAGCAGTGATTTTTTTGTAAAATGACCCGAGGGATAACCAGGCTCCAGATGAACCCCTCCCTTTCTCAGCAACCTGAGCATCCCATTCGACCCCACTGTGTGACTCTCAGGGTGCCCATATGGAAACTGGGAATTCTAAAGACAACTCTGCCCAGCTTCCAGGGTTGCAGAAGTCAGGCACGGACCCTATAAATGACGAACTTTATGGCCTGTAGTGTGTTTGAAGGAAGTAAGCCAAGAAGTCAATATTTTAAAATGCAACAGTTTAAGAAAATGCACCCATTGGCCAGAGCGAACCGTTAGCAGGAGTGAGTGGTGAGTGTCCACGAGAAGCGGGCTGGGTTGGCCAGAGCACATGCCCTCTGAGTAAGCAGGTCAGCTCCTCATCAGCCTGTGGGTATTCAGATGTGCAGACATACGCACACCTGGAGTGGGCAGCTATGTCCCAGCGTGAGGCTTGGTGTGTTCTGTGGTGGGTGGGGAAGGTCTCTCAGTTTCTCCTCGCGGGTTTGACATCAGCGCTGAGAGGCTGCTCTCAACTGCTGACCAGAGGAGTCTGTCTGTCCCTGATGACCTTATCTCATGTGCCTAAGCTCTCATCCACCTAAGGGTCCTTGGCCCTGAACCTTCCCTAGGTCCCCTTCCAGCTGCTCCCTCACTCGCTTCGGGTCTCTGCTCAGAGGGGCTGTCCTTGACCAGCCTGTTAAAACCAGACACTTCCTGGTGTGAGGGAACTTCCGGGAGAGATGTTCTGTCTTGCTAAGGGTTTGGTTACGTGTGCCTTTATCAAAGCTCATGAAATGGTGCACTGGAGATTTGTGCATTTTGCTGTAAATTCACTTCAAAAAAAGAACCATCAACAAGCATTTCCTTCTAGTTAATGATATGGATGCTAAAGTGTTTCTGTAGGTAAAAATATAAAAGTCATCAATTTCATATTGTTCAACCTATTACTTTACCCTGAACCAGCTCTAGAAAGGAGCGTCCCAAAGTGTGTTCCACAGTGCAGTCACCTGGGAGGTTGTAAGAAGTACAGATTCTCGTGGCCCACTCCAAGCCTGCCGAGCCAGAGTCTCGGGTGTGGGGCCCCCCAGTCTATGTTTTAATGAGGCTTCCAGGTGACCTTGATGGGTTGCAAGTCTGGTGGGGGCCGACTGCTGACCCAGTGGGTGAGCAGGTGGACATTGTGAACCGCCAGGTCTGTTGTGGGCAGAGGAGCAGCCCCTTGTCTGTTTGGCTTTTTTTCAACATGTGCCTCCTGAGGACTCAAGTCTGTCTCCCCACCAGACTGATCCAGGAGAAGGGCCATGACTGTTTATTGCTGTGTGCTCAGTGCCCAGCACAGAGCCTGACATGTAGTAGGTGCTCACTAACTACCCGATGCATGAATAAACACACAGTCGCACAGGTCGGGTGTGCACAGCAGGCCCATCCTGGCCTGAAGGATGGTGTCGAGTGATTGTCTCAGTCTTCATCTGGCTTCCTTCTCCTTCCTTCCTGCTCTCCCCACATCTAGTAGAGCCTGTCAGCTCTACCTCCAGCATGTGTCCTGAAGCCATCGCCTCTCATCTCCACTGCCTGCATCCTGGTCCAGGCCAGCATCGTCTCTTACCTGGATGTTCACCTCCACTCAGGCCCACCTACGGTCTCCACACAGCAGCCAAGTTATCTGTCCAAACTGTAAATCAGATCACACCACTCACCTGTATAAGACTGCATCGGCTTCCCACTGCACATCCACTAAAATAGTACCCGTCCCCAAGGTCTGCAGGCGCCCCCCACCCCACCCTGTGGCCTGTCCCCTGTCCCCTCTGACCTCATCTCCCTCCACAGTCACTCCTGACCAGCCCCACCAGCCTCCTCATTTCTCTTGAACCTCTAAGCCTTTCTCATATTGCCTCCTTTGCCCCTGATACCCCCTCCTTCTGGAACACTCCTCCCTCTATGCTCAGTGTGGTCAGCTCTTTCTCACCCTTTAGGCCCTCTCTGACCTCCAGATGAAACCGTCCTTCCCACTCACAGACACTACCCCATAACCCGTGTCTTTCCTCCCCAGTGCTCAGCACCAGCTGCGATCGATCCTCGTTTATATATTTGTTTATTATCGGTCTCCTCCCAGTTGTCTCCCAGAAGCTTGTTCTTGTTCAGTTTGCTGATGCCCAGAAGAACACCTGGTCCAAGGTGTAGCTGGAGTTGGTGGGAGGGGGAAGATGGATTCCTGGCCCCTCTGCTACTCTCTCACAGAACCACCTGGCACTGCTGGGGTCTGCTTTGTGACCTCCTGGAGCTGACTATCCTGCTCTGAACTCTTGTCTGTCCTTTAGGCCTGTGCCCACCGCTGGAAGAACATCTACTACGAAACAGACCACATCCTGCCCCACGGCTTCTGTTACATCATCCCGTCCAACCTCCAGGCCAAAGGCAGGACGCTGATCCCTTGCTATGAAGGTGAGTGCTTTCGATTCTCCTCCATCCTCTCTCCACGTTGTGCCATAACCCCCAGCCCATCTCCATGTCCCCCAGCTGTCCAAACCCTTAACAGGAGGGCAGCATGTGTCCGCAGATGGCCTCTTGGTGCTGGAGGCTCTGCCCAGGTAATGAGGAGGGTGAGAAGCGGCCAGTGGTTCCAGGCCCTGTCCAGCCTCGTCCATTTCTGCCACAGAGCCCACAGTGCTTATCAAGCTTATTGAAGTCTCACAGACGGAAATTCACCAAACCTCAGCCAAACGGTCAGACAGAACTTGGTTTCCTGGCACTGCCGGATACTGTGCAACCTCGGGAAACTTGCTCTCTCTGGGCCTCAGTTTCCTCACCTGGAAATTCAGAGGTTGGTTCAGATGGTCTCCATGGTGCTGTGTAGCTCCCGCATGGACACAAGGCTCCCGAGATAGCTCCTGAGACAGCTCCTGGCCACACCCATGGACAGATGTCCTGAGGCAGGGGCCAGAAAAGACCCAGGATTCAGTTTTCATAACATCTACTGTCTGACTTTCCTCCTTTCTTCCATGCACCCTGTCAGATGCTTGAGAATTGGATGCATCCTCAGAAAAGTTTTGAGAGCCCCTCACCAAGGGATACCTGGGGGTCTTGGAAGGAAAATATGTTTTCTAAGCCTCCCTGTTTAAAATCTTCAAACGCCTGGGCACTGGGGGCCATTGAGGTGATTATTATTTAGCTCAGTCAAATTTGACTGTAAGGATTCAGAAAATGGCTGTCATTTTCTTCAGTTTTATAGCTTGTAGGCTTAGGTTTTCTTAGCCTAATTTTGAGTGAGCTAGAACCTCTTCTTCTCTAAGTGCTGACTGTTTATGTTTTAATTCTCCCCCTGATTTGGATAGACTTCTCCACTGGCCTGTGCCCTCATTTCCTTTGGGCCTCTCTGGGTTTTTCCAGGTTTCAAATTTTGTGGCCCGCAAATGGGTTCTGAGAAATGCCATCTGGACACATGCATTGTCTGCCTTGTGGAGGGCCCTGCAGGCCCTGAAGGGGACTCAGGTGGCCCTAGCAGGGTGTTCTGTGAAATGGCCCTGCAGAAGAGCTGGCAGGGGCCCTGTAAGGGGCACAAACCCTCTGCTTCTCAGAGGGCGAGCCCTTTTTCGCCCTGGTGTCAGCATTTGGTCAGCTCTGGCTGGGCCATGCGGGGAAATTGAACTCTGGCCCTGTTTATCTCTGTATTGCCCCAGATGAAAGAAAAGCTTTATCTGAAACATAGACGATACTATAATTGGTCAAGAGGGAGGGATAGGTAGTATAAATACACAAATAATGGGTCAAGACTGTGTTCTGACTGCCTAGCTTATCCCTTCTCCCCCCACCCTGGGAAGAAAAGGGAAGTGCCCCAGGAACAACGCTTTGGACAGTTGTCAGGCTGGGAAGCAGTGGGGGGGGTCAGTGAGGTGGGGGAACGGAGGCCTTGATGATCGAACCCAAACTAGTTATGTTTGCAATGGGACCCACACTTTGCTTTCCCCAGAAGACGTGCTGTGAAACAGGGACACGTTGCTGTCCCCGGCGATTCCTCTCTATACCCCCATAGGCATCGGAAAGCAAAAGGACCGCCCTTTGGAGAGAGAACTGGGGCCGCTGTCCGTGCCTGCTTACAGCCACGGGGCTCATGCTTCTAAGTGGCCCGTCATCAGGCAGCCGGGGGCTCAGCAGCAAGCCGGTGTCGGGCTCCCTAATCTTTACACAACCCCTGAAAAACAAGTATTTTCCTTCACTTGGGTTTGAAGACAGGTGATTTGTTTGGGAGGTTATTGCAGAAGACACTGGTCAGGGAATGGGAGAGCGAGAAAGAGAAGGGAAGGCAGTCCAAAGGGATGTTACCACGGGTTACCACCCTGGGCAACTGCGGTGCAGTCTCTGGGGAGCTCTGAGGCCAGCAGAGAACACACCTCGGAACCATCCCACCTGAGGGGGGCTGGGGTCTTTAATCACTGGGCATTCTGCCCCGCTGTGTGTGTGGGCAGGGAAAGCCCCCTGGCAAAGAGCTGCAGGTGCTGGCAGGTGGCAGGGGGCCATATCATGGAAATGGTCAGGGTGGAGCGGGTGTGGATGGGACCCTTGTAGGTGGACCTCTGCGTTGCCTTCCACCTGTTACAGATGAGGACGCTGAGACTCAGCGGCTAAGTAAGTTGCCACAGGGTGCTCACACAGTAAATAGAAGAGCTGGGTTTTGAATTTTGCATCTGTTTGGCCTCGGCAAACCATTTCATGCCCTGTTCATGGTTATTGGCGATTTCTGTTTGTGTTTTGGACTTTCCAGTTTAAGTTAAATAAGAACCAGTCATCAGAGAGGGTGACTGTTTGGAGTATCCCAAAGGTATATTCACGAGGGATGTGAATATTGTGGATGATGGTGTTCCCTAAAGCAGTCCCTGCTCGGCTTCCTGTCTTCTTTGCTGGTGGCTCTGGTGTGATGCTTGGCAGGAGTGTGGGAGCCTGAGTGAGCCAAGAAGAGCAGCAGCAAGGCTGGGGACAGGTTGGCCTCCGGTCTAATCCACGTGTCCCTCGTTCACAATAGAGTGTGTGAGCTCTGAGCCTAGGCCTTCAGAGGCATCATGTCTCCCCACCTCACACCCCGCTCTGGGGGCTTTGGACCATGGCCATAGCACATGTCCCCTGGAGCTCACCGATCCCAGAAAAGAAAAATGTGAAACAGACCGAAACTGAACTTGCAGCGAGAAACCACCTAGATTAGCCAAATCACAGCTGATCCGTAGATGTATGAGTGAGAAATGAACGCTTGTTATTGTTTGCCACAGACATGGTCGTTACGTAGTGATAGCTGACTGACATGGGGCTCATTTCAGGTCCCGAAATTCCTCTTACCAGTGACTGTGGGATCGACTCCCAGCCTCCAGGATTGCCTTTGATTGCTGATTTAATGATGGCCAAATGGAGCCAGCGAAGAAATTAGCAAAATGGTCACGTGCCCGCCTAATCCTCCTTCCCTACAGTCACACACACATGCTTTCGTATCCTCCCTCATTTATCGACCCAGGGAGGAGTGAGGGGTTGGGGTGAGGCTGGGGTGGGGAGTGCCGGTATATAAGAGCCCCTCAGAACAACGGGGGACTGAACAGAACGTTTCTGTGGCTCTTGGTCATACCAGAGGTGAGGGATGGCAGACGCTCAGATTTCTTTGGAAGGCTGGACTGTCAAGGTGGAGGGGTGCAGACCACAGTTGGGGCTGTTGCCTGTGCTCTGTTGGCTTTGGGGATCTCCACCTCCCTGTTTTGTGGTCTGAAGCAAACCTACCTTGGCTCTGAAGGCGACCATTATTTCCTCCTAATGTGGAAAACTCGGTGACGCACACTCTATTCGTTGGGCAGGGGATCACATTATGGTTAAGTACAACGGACGTGTTTTAGAGTTTGACATGACCTTTCAGATATCACCTAGACCAGCCTGTCTTTGTTGAGGTCTAGAGGTGTGGTGTGGCTTTCTCAAGGCCAAGTTTTTCTTTCCATTCTGTTATTCATATGCCACACAATGGAGAGTAGCGTGATAGCTGTGAGGATAGACTTTGGACCCAGACTGCCAGAGGTCAAGTCCTGGCTCTGACACTTGTTAATGGTGTGATTTCAGATGAGTTGTTTAATCTCTCGGTGCCTAACCTACCTCAAGGGGCTGTGAAGAGGATTGCGTTAATACTTGTAAGTTCTTATAACAGTGCCTGGCATGTATATGTTGATATATACTACATGCTAAGCATATAAATGTTAATATACTATATTATGTGCTAATGTACTAGTGTTCGTTAATCACCATAGAGGGACTAATTCGTCTACCAGAAAGAGTCCACTTACTCTTATTAAGTACCTGCTAGACACTGTGCGAAGTGCCTGATAAAACCCAAGTCACGCAGTCCCAGCTGTCAAGAAGTTCCCCCTCTACAGGGCAAGACAGGAAACACAATGTTTCAAAAGTGAGAGAGCTGCATGGCGGGGAGAATTCTATGCCGGCGTACACTGCTGTGTACCTCTCCCCAAAGGCCAAAGCTGCATCCAAGTTCAACGTGGCATTAAGGCAGGATTATTCCAGTTTACAACTGGAAAAACTGAGACCCGTGTAGAGTCTGCCACCTGTTGGGGCACATTGAAGGGAGGGGTGGTGGGAATCCACCGTTGGTCACGGCCGTGGGTGCGGGGCAGGAGAGGAAGGGGCGGGATAGGAAGCAGAAAGACCACAGAGGGAGCAGTGGGATGCTTGGCTGAGGTTCTCTCTTCCATGCTTCTGTCTCTGTGGCTGGACCCTCAGTGGGAATGGATGCTCTAATGGGCTCTTCTGCATTCGCTTCTGAGGCTTATTGGGGGGGCATCGTGAGAAACCTCAGGTGAAAGTACTCAGAAAGACCACACATTGTTCTCTAATGGTGGCCTTATTGCGGGTGCGTGTGAGGGTCAGCTGTGCTCCCTTCAGAATGTTGGAAGGTTGGTTTAATTGAGGAAAGCCTCTAAGTGTGTGGGCACGTGTCCAAAATGTCTCAAACTTTTGAATTTTTAAAAAATCAGTCTTTGGTTTGGCACAAGGACCTTTTTCTCATGACTTTTCAGGTGCTTCCTGTTTCTGGTTGGGTGGGAAATGCTATCAGAATATCCTGTTTGGAACCGGGAAATGTAGAACCGGGAATGGGAAACAAAAATGAATTTAGGACACAAAGTAAAATAAACTGGTGGAGCGCACCCTTAAGTCAAACCGTTTAGTTCACGTTCGATAGGAGAACAGCATCATTGCTACCATATGTTGTTTGGTTTTGTCAGAATGTGTGAGAAAACAGGAACATCAGTGGGATGACATATGGGGAAAACTTTGTAAGTTAAAGAGCGAGAACTATAAAACATTAGTTACTATTAGCCAAGTCATGGTATTTTAGGACTCCCCAAAGTTGTCAGAGCATTGATGAAATCGGGCACAGAGATTTCTTTCATCCTTTGCTCTTGAGC